TCTGGATCTTCCAAAATACAAAGATAAAGAAACTCTACGCTCTAAACTGATTCAAGCAATTGATCATAATGAAGGCTTCAGTTTAATATAACTTTGGAAATAATAACTAATCAGTTTATTGCAAAAGCATTAAACTATTTGTGTTTTTCTTGTGGTGATGAATTCAGCAAGGTGACAGAGGTACTATTATAATTCTTATTGCAAAATGTTTAATGCTATGAGTATTCATGAAAGCCAAAAAATATTAATGGAAAGTGAACAAACTGTGTTAATATTAAACTTACTGTACAGAACCATGGATTTTTTTTTTTGCCATCTTCCAATAAACATACAAGTATTGTGAATACATTAAAGTTTTACTAACATGAATTTTAAGAGTTTGCATATTTCACAAATAATCTGGTGTATGAGTGCATGGAAATGTTGCTTAATTTTCAATCACTGAGTGAAAAACCTTTATCTTTGGCCTGCAATAGTCATTCGATTATTTTTTCATTTTGTAAATAATGTTAAGTTTTGTAATAAAATAGTTATGTTCTGATACCAGTACAGTTTCTATGGTTGTAATTGAACTGAGCTAAAAGGATTAACAGTTATGATTAAATCTTATTCTGAGAATCTGTAAAAGCAAAAAATTAGCATGATGAAACATAACCTTTGCTTTTTTACTAGAATAAATATCCTTGTGCAAATCTAAATTACAGATAGGAGTTAAATAACTTGTAGTTCTTTCCTTTTGTGAACCTGGAGATGCTACTGATAAATGGGAGGTTATCAGTAAAGCTTAATATTTGGTACTAGAAGAACTTTGCCCTACAACTGCCAGCAATAGAAACTGGCTACTTTGAGAACCAGCCACTGGCTTATAGCTTCCAAAACTACTGATGCTGCAGGTTGGTATTTAGTCAGAATTTTCAGTGCTCTGGAACTATTTCCTTGAATTTTTAGAAACAAATCTTAACACAATTTTTATGGTGCTGATGCTTAGTTATCTCCTGTGATTAACTGTGAGTTGATGCAACCCATGTGACTTTCTGCTATAATGCAAATATTTATTTTTTAAATTTATTTTTTAAGCCGTGAAAATTGTTTAAGTAATAAAGATTTATTGGTTTAATACTTAGCCTTTCAGTGGTTCTCATATAAGATTCAAAATTCCTCAATGTCTCCGGAAAGGTCTTTAAATTTTGGATTGAGTATTACCATTGCCATACAAACTGTCTGTTTTACAGAGATCTCCAGTTTTCTTAGCTATAATTCCAAAATCCAGAACAACTCTGAAAAAAATTTGTGTATCTCATTTTGCAGCAAAACTTGAATTGTTGAGGCTATTATTTGTGGTATTAAATGAGACTATTTGTACATTTTTTTTGTACATTTTACTGTGGTGATATTAACCATCTGAGCCACCCAGGTGTCTTTACTGTGGTGATATTAATAGGTTTGATTTATTTAGTGTGTTTGATCTTAGATACTGCCTCAGACCCCTGTGGGGTGCTTTAAAAAATTCGTTAACATTCGTAATTCCAAAATGCAAATGAGCCCAAGTATTTTGGACACGGGATTGTGGACCTATACTTTTCAGTTTAACTTAAGAACTTCCACTGGTAAGCCATAGGTGTCTTTTTATATAGAGGGAAGCCCTTAAACATAAGTATTCTCACATACAATAATTTAGCTCAAATTAGCACTCTCCCTCTGAAAATTCATTTTGTACTGTTTCCCTGTGTATCCATTTATTTCTTGAGGGTAGTGATTGTTCACATTGAAAACACATGTGTGTGTGTAAGATGATTTTTTTTCTTTAGTAACCTCTATGCTAGGTACTGATCTGTGAAATAGCAGCCACTTTGGATTAATACAGATGGATTTCATTGAACAAATATTTTAACAAGGAACTGGCACATCTTATCTAGGAGCACAACAGTACAAGGCTTAATTTGGGTAAGTCTTATTATACTCTTCTCCCTCTGTTGCTGCAAGACATACATAAGTAGCATTAACAGCAGGGAGATTAATGGTAGAAAATTAAAATACCATTGAAGATTTTTCAAATTGCTGTTTGCTTTTTTAAAAATAGCATGAGGGGCACCGGGGTGGCTCAGTCAGTTAAGCATCCAACTCTTGATCTCAGCTCAGGTCTTGTTCTCAGGGTCGTGAGTTCGAGCTCTGCATTGGGCTCCACACTGGGTATGGAGCCTGTTCAAAAAAAGAAAATAGCGGGGCGCCTGGGTGGCTCAGTCGTTAAGCGTCTGCCTTCGGCCCAGCATCCTGGGATCGAGCCCCGCATTGGGCTCCCTGCTCCGCGGGAAGCCTGCTTCTCCGTCTCCCACTCCTGCTTGTGTTCCTGCTCGCTCTCTGTCAAATAAATAAAATCTTTTAAAAAAAAAAATAGCAAGAAAAATATCTTGAGCTTTGTAGATTAGTGTAGAAAATAAGCAAATACTGAGTGCACTAAATTATAAAGACTGTGATTATGGAGTGGACTAAACTTGAAAATATTTGGCTTCCAATAAAGATCTACTAGTAAGAGCAATTATGTTTGTAGCTCCTGTCTGATGAAGTGGTAGAACCAAGACACATTGCATGCAACAAAACCAGAATGCAGTTTTTTAAAACTGGAGACTTGCAATAAAGTCCTAGCCTTTCATACATTTTGTTTTTACGGCATTTAGTTTAACAAAAAGTCCTCAAAGTGTAATAGGGCGGTCTTCCCCTGAAGGAGTGTATGGCAAGCCGAGAGCAAGGGCAGATGTTCTGTTCTCAGCCACTTTCCTGCTCCCTAGCTCTTTTGCACTTTGGCCATCCATATTCCTTATGGTAGTTTCTTTATTCATCCTATTTCAATAGTTCCTCTTTTTTTTTTTAAGATTTTAATTTGACAGCACAAGCAGGGGGGGCTGCAGAGGGAGGGGGAGCTGCAGAGGAAGAGGGAGAAGCAGACTCCCCACTGAGCAGGGAGCTTGACTCGATCCCAGGACCCTGAGATCATGACCTGAGGCCGAAGGCAGCCGCTTAACTGAGCCACCCAGGCACCCCGATACCCCCTATTCTTGCCAGTGTTTGCTAATTGGTGAACTACTCCTAGAGATAAATTGAGAAAAGTTTGTTTCATGGAAGTCTACCTTCCCTATGAGGCCAGCCCCTTGGAATGGAGTGTCACACGCAGAAGGGAACACCCCTATTTTTTTCCGTTCTCAATCCTTGCTATACTTTTCAATCACCTGGAGGTACTTTTAATACTATGCACAGGCCTCCTTAGACCAATTAAATGTTCTCTAAGGAGTGATGCCCAGGTTATATATTTTTTTAAAGAATTTATTTGAGGGCGCCTGGGTGGCTCAGTTGGTTAAGCGACTGCCTTCGGCTCAGGTCATGATCCTGGAGTCCCTGGATCGAGTCCCGCATCGGGCTCCCTGCTCGGCAGGGAGTCTGCTTCTCCCTCTGACCCTCCCCTGTCTCACGTGCTCTCTCTCTCTCAAATAAATAAATAAAATCTTTAAAAAAATTTATTTGACAGAGACACAGCGAGAGAGGGAACACAAGCAGGGGGAATGGGAGAGGGGGAAGGCTTCCCGTGGAGCAGGGAGCCAGATGTGGGGCTCGATCCGAGGACCCTGTGATCATGACCTGAGCCAAAGGCAGACACTTAACTACTGAGCCACCCAGGCGCCCCAGGTTATTCTTTTTTAAAAGTTTCCCAGGCAATTTAATAGTCACAGTTGAGAGGCACTCAAAGTGGGGAGGAGAGGTCCTTAGACCACTTATTATTTCTGGTAACATCCTAGCTTAAGGCTTTAGATTTGTTCATTTCTGAGGAGAGGTTATGGTCTGCATACACACACTGCCCCTCTAGGTTACAAGTCTAGGAGTTGAGACTTCTTTCAAATAAAACTTACCAAATAATGCTTCATAGGTGGATGATGTAAACCACCGATTGAAAGCACACCATTTTCTATACCACGACGAGCAGTGCTAAACCATCATGTATCATTAATTAGGGTATTACGACCAGTGAAATATATACTGCATTAACCAAGGAGACCTGGAATAGTACTAACACAAGGCTTAAAAATTAGCTGTTGTCAAAACATGCACTTAACTACTTAAACTGACCAAACACCACCTTTTAAGGTATGAACTACCTTCCCATTTTGTGCATATAGTGAATGAAGTCGCTATTTTTTTTATACCTTAGGATGAGATTTTTACAGGTAATTTTTTTAAGATTTTTTTTTAAGATTTTATTTATTTGACAGAGAGAGACACAGCGAGAGAGGGAACACAAGCAGGGGGAGTGGGAGAGGGAGAAGCAGGCTTCCCTCTGAGCAGGGAGCCCGATGCGGGGCTCGATCCCAGGATCCTGGGATCATGACCTGAGCCGAAGGCAGACGCTTAAAGACTGAGCCACCCAGGCAGCCCCTACAAGTAATTTTTCTAGTGAAAACAGGACATACCAGGGCAGAGTACTAGTTTAAAATTCACTTCAAAAGTTTGCTGGTGAGGAAGGCAAGAGTCCTGAGAGTAGGAAACTGCCAGTCAAGGCTTTATTCATCACAGAACACTTTCTAAGGGGCATGCTCCTGGCTTCTTGAATGGTACTTTGTCACTCAAGAACTTGAATGGACTAAGGTTTACAAGTCAGCCTCGAAAAGTTTATACCAAATGTGGTCTGCAGTCATTGTCCACACCTTCCTGTGTTAAGACTCGTGTTACCATCCGTGAGGCACTGTGCTTTTATAGCATATACACTCTTGAGTTCACTGTATTTCCACTATTCTCTCGTCTTCCTAATACCAAAGTCCTGAACCTATGTCCGGGCTTCCGTATGTCAAGTTCTTAGGCCCTGTCTTGCCTCTCCCCCACTTTTCACCTACAAAGGTTCCTGGGCCTATAACTGAAATACTAGTTTTGAAACTTGGTGAAGCGCCAGCTGCTACAACCAGCAGTACCAGTGTTTGCTGATGCTTCTGTGAGATTTTATACCTTGAACAATGTAATTTAACAGAAAAAAGTCAAATGACAATTTTAATAGACTTTAAAACAGTGTACAAGTATAAAACACTGGTTTTGTATTTCAAAAGTTGGAGGAAGATATCCAGTCATTAAACAGTCTACAAAACATATGCCAGTAGATTACATAAAAGACTATGTACAATATAAAAAGCTGAAAACAGTCTTCACTGTAAAAAATAATTTAAAACAAATTTTTCAATTTAAAATATCATCTATAGCACAAACACACATCATGCAAATGGAAAACTAAATACACTGCATTCTTTAGTGTAGCCAAATAAATTCAGATTGAAACATCTTTTAGGTAGGGAAGTGGCCGTTCAATAAAACTTTTCTCTCTGGTAGTAATGGTCCTAGCTGGGTATTTTATGCTTAAAGAACAGCTATATTTCAAACCCTTTTTAAAAATTGTAATAAATACTAAAGCAACATAGGAATACTTTATAATTTGGGAGTAATGTGGGGTAAAGGTCTGGTAAATAAATTGCTCTGTGCAATTTTATAAAGTATGAACTTTTTTTTGAAAGGCTAAGAAGCTTCTGCAGCTGAAAAAGTTTGATCTCTAGTTTTAAGGCAGGCTAAGCTTTTAAATAAAGATGTTATAGGAACTAATTTCATTCATTAACTATTCTGCTACTGCAAGTTACATCATGTTCATCTCCATAATACAAGGCTAGCAGTTTGGTGTCTATTACACCAAATCCTCCCAACAGGAGACATGTACTTACTGAGTTATAATTAACATCTTAGTACTTTGGAACCATAATCAGGGGCCTGTTGCTCTCCTCATTAATGGAAAAGAAAAGCAGCGGTCCAAAATATTACACTCTCCCCAGATGAAGTACCATTATTACAGGTTCATAAAGGCTTTGCATATTCACATCTTGGCAGTTTAATACTTGTGGGAAAGAATCGATGCGAGCTCTACCACAGTGATAGGTATTTAAACAACAAGGGCAAATATTCTTGAAACTAAGGGTACCCAGACAGGCACTACTGTTTCTAAAGCAATTGAAACATGTCCAAAGCATTTATTTTTTTCAGGTTAGTTTTATAAAGGAGCCAATATAGACATTACTACATGTCCACAGGAAGTACAAAAGCCATCTTCATTTCAGCAATACAAGATTCCTGAAACTCTTAGCACCAAGTCTTACTTTAAAAAGCAAAGACAACTGAGTGCTCTCCCACATATTGTTGACTTCCTTCTACACACTGCATGCCATGTGATTTTTAAAAAGTTAGCTGCCACAAGTTTTGGAAAATGCCAGTGTTTAAAAATAGGTAATTGTGCTAATAATCAAAAGTTTTAGCAGAACAGACATTTAAGGAGTTCAAACCATTCAATGTTACAAAGAAAAGTGTGAAAATACCATTCTTTGGTCTAGATAAGCTGTTCCCTTTACATTAACATTCCAATGGCTTTTGAAAACTTTAAAATGTTGAAATGCACTAGGCAAGAACAAAATTATATATACATATGGATGTATCATACAAATGAACCTTTAAAAGAAAAGTTCTGACCAATAGGTGATTAAAGATACTTAGTACCCTTCTTTTAAAAAAAGTTAGTGTTGAGTGTACAAGTACAGAAATAAGAAGTTAAAAATTACCCATGGAGAAAAAATCTATTTTACCAGTCTATAAATATTACACCTTTCTGGTTTCCTTGCTCTGTTGAATTCACAAGTAAACATTCATTTTCACATGCTAAAGTTCCTAATGCTGGTGGAACAATTCCTGTACCTGGACAATTATTACATTATGATTTGTTTGATGGATAGTTAATGTCTGTTCCTTCCTGTTTCATGCATATAGCTTCACTGACTGCCTCTTGATCACCTCCACCAATTCCAAATCCAGTTCCTCCAGCTCTCTCATTAACATCAGCTTCATCTTCCAAACCATTGTAAAATTCTTCAATCTCACTTTCATCCTCCAAGTGTTCTTCTAAACTTGGACTCTGGCATGTTCCACTATCACTGTTACTGCCACAAGAACTAGAGGATAAGACGTCATCTTCAGAGTCCGAATATACCTCAGCGCCATGGAAAATATAACGATTTGGTGGTATAAACAGATACTGGTTACCTGAAATACAGTAATAAAAGAGAAATAAGTTATTCCCAGTTTTCTAAGACTCATTTGGTCTAATTACAGGTTCCAGCTCTGCCTTTTACCTGCGTATCATCACTAGAGGCTATTACTATAGTGTTCTTCAAAAACAAAGTGCTCACTCCTAGCTGCAAGTCTTAGTTCTGCCACCAACCAGCTTTGCTATTTGGGCAGTTAATCTCTATGCCTCAATTTCCTCATCCAGAAAATTAAATAATTTTCACAACTCTATCAACTAAGTATGAATAAATGTAGAGAACCATGTTCAGTAAAGGTTATTTAACCAACTCCTTTGAACAGAACTCATGACATGAAATATCCAGGCTTGCCTACATTGCTCAATTCATGTTCACTGCATAGAAATTCATTAAAGCACATACTATGCCTTCAAAGCACCATCATTTTCAAATAGTTTTAATTCCATAATGGCTTGACCACCTATTCAAAAGTGGTTTGCAGGCAATAGCATCACCTGAGAGTTTATTAGAAGTTCAGATTCTCAGGCCCCACCTAGTGAATCTGAATCTATTTTTACAGAAGTCCTACACAAAGTATGAGAAACACTGATCTAGCACTGGACGTTAAACTTTCTTCAATCCCCTCCCAAATTTGCATTCATAGTTTAAGATGTGACCCATGATGGTAAGGACAATTCCCTCTCTCCCCTAAGCTATGGGTCCCAGGTTTCTGGTGGGAACTTTTAAAGATGAAATAAATTTTCTACCCTTGAATTCATAAGAACAAGTAACTTCTAACTTAAGCCTGTTTCTACACATAATAAATGTATTTATTGCACCACATCCCAGACTGATTCACAAAAGCCTGGCTACTAACATAGTTGATCTGAAGTGACACACCATCTGCCAAGCATATCTAGGTTTCTCTTCAAAATGGCTTTCAAACTTTATACCCCATCATGACCAAAGTTCTCACTTTGAAACAACCTAATATGTGCACAACAATTCTGATCTGAACCCACAACATTGATTTCACATTCCATGAACAGATCACAAATTGCTATGTGAAAACCATATATTTCCTTCTATTTTGGAAGAATTATTCTTCAGTTTTCTAAGCTACTAGTGTTATATTTCCATGATTGGAAGAGGGAGTGCCTCTATTCTAGCTACTAACAGAAAAGTCCATCTGCTACTTCTCAGTATCTTTTGTAAGGGGTCCCAGCACATGGCTGTTGTGCATTTTACTATTGTTTTGGTCCATGCTTCTAAAAACTGCTTCATTCTGTCTTAGCCCCCCTGATAAACAGAATAATCTATTATTTCTCAGCCCAAGAATCCTGTACCTATTTTGTTTTTGCCTCCTCTTGGGAACCATCAAGACAGACTTAAAAGTTTGCCTCATCTATGCTCCCACATTCTCTTTTTCAACCTTGTCTCACCAACAGAAATCACGGTAAACAAAAATAAGACTAGTGTGGTAATTTGTTTTTAACAGCTGCAATTTTACACTCTACATCACAGTTATCTTTTTAAATTCTCACAATGCTGAAGTATATGCTATTTGATTCCCATTTTTCAGATTAGGAAACAGATTAAATAACTTTGCTCAAAGTAGATCTGAGACAACTCAGGTGTAATTCCAAAGCCTGCCCCTTTAAGGCCTAAACTGGTAGAGAAAAATCTAAAGACTGCTCCAGGTTTGATCTTTTGTTTCCTGGGACAAGCAAAGAGTTTTCTGTTTGACCCATCTGTCAAAAAGATACTCAAAAGAAATCTCCAGTGTTAAAGTCTTCCAGTACATAGGCAGACTGTACATAGTAAATACCAGTATTAACCTAACTATAAACAGTTTTTAAGTAGACTCCATGCCCAATTTAGGGCTTGAACTTACGACCCTGAGATCAAGAGTCACATGCTCTACCAACTGAGTCAGGTGTCATTAAATGGCAATTTTTCTTCTAGCTCTTGCCACATTTGCAAACAAGCATTCTTCTATGCTTTTCCTAGTTTCTCCTGGGAAGTTGTCCCCTCTTTTAACTCCCTATTTACTGTTCAGACCAAAGTCAGAAGTTAGGTTTTTGAGCTTTTGCACAGCTAAGGAAACAGTCAGCAAAACCAAAAGAAAACCAACAGAATGGGAGAAGATATTTGCAAATGACATATCAGATAAAGGGCTGGAATCCAAAATCTATAAAGAGCTTATCAAACTCAACACCCAAAGAATAATCCAATCAAGGAATGGGCACAAGACATGAATAGACATTTCTGCAAAGAAGACATCCAAATGGCCAACAAACACATGAAAAAGTGCTCAACATCGCTCGGCATCAGGGAAATCCAAATCAAAACCTCAATGAGAACCACCTCACACCAGTCAGAATGGCTAAAATTAACAAGTAGGGAAACGACAGATGTTGGCGAGGATGCGGAGAAAGGGGAACACTCCTACACTGTTGGTGGGAATGCAAGCTGGTGCAACCACTCTGGAAAACAGTATGGAGGTTCCTCAAAAAGAGTTGAAAATAGAGCTACCCTACGACCCAGCAACTGCACTATTTACCCCAAAGATACAAATGTAGTGATCCAAAGGGGACCTGCACCCCAATGGTTATAGCAGCAATGTCCACAATAGCCAAACTATGGAAAGAGCCTAGATGTCCATCAACAGATGAATGGATAAAGAAGATGTGGTGTGTGTGTGTTTGTGTGTGTGTGTGTGTGTGTGTGTGTGTAATGGAATATTATGCAGCCATCAAAAAACCCAAAATCTTGCCATTTGCAAGGACGTGGATGGAACTAGAGGGTATTATGCTAAGCAAAATAAGTCAATCAGAGAAAGACAAGTATCATATGATCTCACTGATATGAGGAATCTGAGAAACAAGACAGATGAAACAAGATGAAATCAGGGAGACAAACCATAAGAGACTCTTTAATCTCAGGAAACAAACTGAGGGTTGCTGGAGTGGAGGGGGGTGGGAAGGATGGGGTGGCTGGGTGATGGACATTGGGGGAGGGTATGTGCTATGGTGAGCACTGTGAATTGTGTAAGACTGATCAATCACAGACCTGTACCCCTGAAACAAATAATACATTATGTTAATTTTTAAAAAATTAAAAGAAAAAGTTGGGTTTTTGGAAAGCCTTCTATAACCTAATCCCCTCCAAATAGCATCTACATTTCTTAATATCACCTATTTTGTTTATTCAGCTATTTTTATAATTATACACAAACATCAAAAGATTGATCACTGTATATCCAGAACTACTACACAGTGTGCCTGGTATGGAAAAGGTACAAAGGCTTATTCAAATGAACTGAAATTCATTTATGGTAAAGGATTAGAATAAGTAGTATACTGTAAATGGAATGGGACTTAATGTTTTAAATTGTACAAGACTGTTACATCTAAGTTAGAATATTTTTGTTTTTACTTTTATTTCATTAGGATTTTTCACCCTACTACTTGTTAAGAGTTCTTACGTGTCAAAACAGGATAGATGTGTTGCATTTCTATGCACCAATAATGAAGTAGCAGAAAGGGAAATTAAGCAATCCTATTTACAACTGCATCAAAAACTGAGAGACCTAGAAATAAGTTTAACCAAGGAGGTGAAACACCTATACTCTGAGAACTGTAAGACATTGATGAAAAGAAACTGAAGAAAACAAATTTAAAGACCTACTATGTTCATGGATTGGAATTATTATTATTAAAACGTCCACATTATTCCAAACAATCTATAGATTCAATGCAATCCCTATCAAAATACCAATAGCATTTTCCACAGAACTGGAATAATCCTAAAATGTTTATGGAACCACAAAGACCCCGAACAGCCAAAGCAATCTTGACAAAGAACAAAACTGGAGGGATCATGCTCCCGGATTTCAAACTATACTATGAAGCTACAGTAATCAAAACAGTATGGTATTAGCACAAAAATAAGACACAAATCTATGGAACAGAATACAGAGCCCAGAAATAAAACCAGACTTATATGGTCAATTAATCTATGACAAAGAAGGCAAGAATATGCAATGGGGAAAAGACAGTCTATTCAATCAATGGTGTTAGGAACACTAGACAGCTACACACAGAATGAAACACAAACACTTTCCCACACCACATTCAAAAATAAACACAAAAGGGATTAAAGACCTAAAAGTAAACAATGGGACTGTATCAAACTAAAATTTTACACGTGAAGGAAACCAACAGAATAAAAAGACAACCTACTGACTGGGAGAAGATACTCAGCAAATGTTTCCGATAAAGGGTTAACATCCAGATTATACAAAAAACTACAGCTCAATAGCAAAAACACCCAACCCGGTTAAGAAATGGGCAGAGGCGCCGAATAGGGGCGCCTGGCTGGCTCAGTCCGTGGAGATTGTGACTCTTAATCCCGGGGTTATTAGTTTGAGCCCCACATTGGGTGAAGGGATTACTTAAAAATAAAATTTTTTAAAAAATGGGTAGAGGCCCCAAATAGACATATTCCCATAGACAATATACAGATGGCCAACAGACACATGAAGATGCCAAACATCATTAACCATCAGGGAAATACAAACTGAAACCTTAATGAGATCACCTAACACCTGTCAAAATGGCTATTATCAAAAAGACAAGAAGTAACTGTTGGCACAAATATGAAGAAAAAGGAACCCTCATAAACTGCTGGTGGGAATGTAAACTGGTGCAGCCACTATGGAAAACAGTACAGAGGATCCTTAAGTTAGAAACAGAAAACTAGAAATGAAAATAAATCCAGGGGAGCCTGGGTGGCTCAGTCGTTAAGCATCTGCCTTCGGCTCAGGTCATGATCCCAGGGTCCTGGGATCAGACCTGCATCGGGCTCCCTGCTTGGCGGGAAGCCTGCTTCTCCCTCTCCCACTCCCCCTGCTGGTGTTCCCCTCTCGCTGTGTCTATCAAATAAATAAATAAAATCTTTAAAAAAATAAAAATAAAAATAAATAAATCCAGCAATTCTACTTCTGGGTATTTTCCTTTAGGAAAGCAAAAAACACTAATTTGAAAAGACAGATGTACTGCTATGTTCACTGCAGTATTTATTTACAATAGTCAAGATATGGAAGCAACCTAAATATCCATTGAGATAAATGGATAAAAAAGATGTGCTGTATATAAAGAATGGAATATTACTCAGCCATAAAAAAGAATAAAATCTTGCCATTTGAGACACAGATGGACCTGGAGGGTATTATGCAAAGTTAAATAAGTCAAAGACAAATACCATATGGTTTCACTTATATGTGGAATCTAAAAAAACAAAAGACTCATAAAAACAGAACTGGTGGTTGCCAGAGAAGGGAGGGTGGAGTGTTGTAGTAACTTTGTATGGTGACAGTACTACACTTACCATGGTAATCATTTCCTAAGGTATATAATCACTATGTGGTACACCTGAAACTGATACTGTGTCAACTATATTTCAATTAAAACAAAAAACTGGGTAGAAGCTATTCCTAATATTCTGTTGAGAAGGATCAGAGATGTTTTCTAGATCTGAGACAACACAGCACAGTGGTTAAGAGGACAGGCTCTGAGGATTGACCTGGAATCCAATTTGGCTCTTCCATGTCCTAATTGTTACCTTGCACAGTCCTTAACCTCTATGGTTCTCAGTTTCCCCACCAAAAGCAGAGAAGCAGTAACAGTTCCTACTTCATGAGATTAAAATCAAATAATGTATATAAATAAAGCTGCCCTATGGCAACCACTCAAATCTCAGTCATCAGTTCTATCAGCTAAAGCTCACCAGACAATGGCAGAGCACAGTTTATTTTCCAATTTTCTTCTCAACTCAATGCTTACCTTCTCATTCCCTGGAACACAAGGTACAGAGAACATTTTAATTTCTTCCCCTACTGTAAGATACCACTGGTTTAACCTTTTTCTAGCCTAAATTCTCAACTTTACAGTTTCTCTAAACACAACTGTTACATTTAGCTGCATAAAGCTACCCTCTATCAACTAACCTGTCAAAATTGCTTATTTCTTACAAATATTGTTAAAATAATTATACCTTCAAAACGGTAAAATAAGGATACCTCCAACAGCATTCCCTTACCATCAAGCCGTTTGCTAATCTGCTCCTTTGCAAGTCTAGGTGGCCAGCACTTCCTCACCGTGTCAGCAACTGAAGTTCTTTCATTTTTTTCCCCAGTGTTAGAGCCAACGTTCTTCAAATCTGGACTTTCCAACTGTTCAGTAACACTTTCAATGTTCCTAGTAGAATTCTGTCCTTCCTGTGATTTTTCTTCCATACAATCTTTTGATTCGGACACACCAGGATCATCAACATTACTCCTAGTTGCTTGGTCTAAAAGTGTAACAATCGCTGAAGAATCTGGTGGTGAAGTTCTTTCTGGTGAACTTGAGTCTTCTGAAATATTAAGAGGCGTGGGTGGCAAATCTGACAAATGAGCCAACTCTTTTTGTGTTCGTGGAGGTTTTTCAGTAATTTCTGAAAGCTTTACAGGGTTGCAGCAAAGTTTGGCATATTCACCACCTAACCTATGACATAATTCATTTATTATAACATCACAGTCTCCAAGAAGCTCTACATCAAAATGCAGATGAGGCAAAGGTTCTCTATTTATTAATATCTGAGGCACTTCATGGGGTATGGAACCTAAAAAGAAGATGAAAAATACGTAAGGAAAAGGTAAGGGAGCTAATAAAACCACAACAAATACACTATGCCAAAATTTAACATGCTCCCAATACCAAAAAAGAAACCCACCGCTACTACTTAACCAAGCCATCACATTTCATCAAGCTATCAAATAAACAGATGGGCAATTAAGCATCTTTATACAATTTCAGGTCCTGCTTTCCATCACCTGATTACCTCTTGAGCAGTCTTCTCAGGCTTTTCTACTCTATACCTCAATTTTCTTGTCTGTTTAATGGGGATAACAGTACTTTTTGACAAGGTTGTAGTCAGAATACGTAAAGTGCATAGAAGAGCTCTTGGCACATAGTGATAGTTATTCTATCAAAATAGCTCCTGAGAGTGTGGGAAATTCATACAAGTCCATTTTCCACCATTATATGCCTGTGTTTTACATGTTTTAAAAATTATCTTTGCGGGGCGCCTGGGTGGCTCAGTTGGTTAAGCGACTGCCTTCGGCTCAGGTCATGGTCCTGGAGTCCCAGGATCGAG